TACTAGGATGGGTGACCTCCTAGGAAGTCCTCGTGTTGCACATCTCTTTTTTGCTCTTTTTGTTCTAAGTGTCTCTCACACCCTTTTCTCATTCTACAAGTGCTCTACCTTTCTAATTCTCTCAACTAAGTTTTGTCCATGATTTTTTGCTAGTAAAGCTCACCGAACTTCATCAAGAAATCAAGCAGTCGATCTCGTATGGTTAGAAATGCCAATTCGGCTCCTTAACTCCTAGATCTTTGTGACATATTCGCCCCCATGAACCTCCAAAGGCATCAAAGATTGTCCTTGAACTTCTGACTACGGCACCAGGGTGCTTCTTCGTCCTTCCGTATGTTAGGCGAAAACGTGGTCAACTATTCTGCCTAGAAATTCATTCTATTTTAGGATAGGTGGCCTCTTAGGAAGTCCTCATGTTGCAACCCTCTTTTTTGTTCTTTCTTTCTAAGTTTGTCTCACCCTCTTCCCATTCTATTAATGCTTTGCATTTTAATTCTCTCAATTGAGTTTTCTTTGCAATTTTCTACCAATAAAGCTAATTAAAATTTCTCTAGAAATTGAGTAGTTGATCACGTAAGGTCAAAATGCTAGTTCAGCTCCTTAACTCCTGGATCTGTACGCCATATTCACCGCAAAAGTTCAAAAGGCATCAAAATTGTCCTTGAACTTCAATCTTCTATACCAACTTCATTCTTTTGCCAATTAGTTGATGACGTGGCCAACTATTTCATCTAAAAACTCAATTTCTTTAGTTCTAAATATTGTGTGCAGATGAGATGGAAATTCAAATGGTTTATGTGGCAATTTTTCTTGCTTTTATGATAACCATGTTGCTTTTTTCACACTTCGAAAATCCCCCCATGTTGGCAACTCCAATACTTTTTCAAAGTTTAGGGACAAGTTAGGTACAAATCAGAAAGTTGAGTAATGAGTTTGGTATTTTAACCATCCCATAACTGTAAAATTGTTGGGATCAAATCAGTAACTTTTATTTGCCTCATCCAAGTCTCAAGTCACTAATGCATATATACATTCTTTGTGTGTGTTGATGGGTGTGATCATACCAACACTAATGCATCAAATCTCATCAAAACTATACAATTAAGCATGTTTGGGAGTGAGTAATACTAGAATGGGTGACTTCTTTAGAAGTCCTCTCGCACCCTTTTTTACATTTTTTATTTTTTCTAGTGTCTCACCCTTTTCTTATTGCACCCCCCTTTTTAATTTTTTTCTTTTCGTGTTGGGTTTCACCCTTTTCCTATTGTGTTAATGCTTTGCCCTTTAATTCTCTAAATTAAGTTTTTTTTTTTTTTGATTTTCTACCAAGAAAGTTCAAAATTTCTTAAGAAATTAAGTAATTGCTCTCATAAGGTGAAAATGTCAATTTGGTTGCTTAACTTCTAGATTTGTGCCAATTTCATCCTTGAATTTCAAAGAGTATCAAAATTGTCCTTCAACTTCAATCTTTTGTACCAACTTCATCCCTTTAATATTTAGGTGATGTGGGTTACCTTCAAGATTTCTTCTCTGTTCTACCTTCAAGATGTTCTACCTTCATGATAGTGGTCACATCATGGAACTTTTTTTTATTTGCAAACTCAAGTTGGTTAAACCACCTTGAATTTGAGGGGAATGATAAAGATATTAAGAGATTCAAAGAATCAACTATGAGGACTAAATTGTAGATTTGATATTATTATCATTTTGGTAGATTTAAGGTTTCTTCTAAGCCTCTACATTAAGGCTCTTTATCTAACAATTTCATGTTATTCAATAATATTTCTATTTAGGTTAAATGTCAATTTTGGTCCCTCAACTTAAGGTTTTGCATAATTTTCATCCCTCAACTTTTTTTTTGCACTTTTTTAGTCCCTTAACTATGAAAAATGCACCTTTTTTGTCCTTCCGTCAATTAATTTGTTAAATATATCTGAATCTGTATATTTTTAGTCACTCAACTAATAATATATGCACATTTTTAGTTCCTCAACTTTAAATTGAGGGACTAAAAACGTGCAGATTTAGATAGACTTAACGAATTAACTATTGGAACACTAAAAAAGTGCATTTTTCATAGTTAAGAGATCAAAATGGTGCAAAAAAAAAAAAAAAGAGTTGCAAGATGAAAATTGTGCAAAACTTTAAAGTTGAGGGGCCAAATTTAGTATTTAACCTTCTATTTATACCCAATTTTACAACGAATAGAATGATGTAACTATCATCCATGTTGGCAAATACTTTGTTTATTGAACAATTGTTTTGTTAATGTAGATTTCTTCTAGATAAAGTTCAGTGGTTGTTTTTACGTTATCAACAAAGCCATTCGTTTGTTGTGAATTTCTAGGGGCATAATCGGTAGCAATAACAGATTAATTGATTTGTTATAAATTTTATGTTGCTATTTGTTTTTAAGATGTTGCCGCAGATCTCCAACATACTGCCCAAGGCTGTTTACTACTATAAATACGAGAAGATGAAATCAAGCAAAACATATCTACCTCTCACACAACAAACCCAGCACTATTTCTTTTAAGAACAGTGATTGACACACACTCCAATTCAACACACTGCATGACACACTCATTAAAAAAATCATTATTTTTTTGTCTGAAATAAAAAATAGACAAGTTTAATGATACAATCATGTACACAGGATATAGAAATCAGTTAAATTGATTGTATTTATATTATATTTTTAATCACTAAACCGAAGTGTGTCAGAAAATGTGTTGAACCGGAGGGTGTACCAATCGTTTTCCTTCTTTTAATGCTCAAAATTCATATTAGTTTCAAGCCCATTAGTTTAGTTTTAACTCTACACTTCAACCTACATTAGCCTTCAACCTTAGTTTAATGTCCTTTCCTTTAGAAATCTCATAAATTAGTTACAGTTCTCTGAATAAGCAATTCAATTCCCCTTTTATTGGTTTTCTAATGGTAAAATTCATTACCTTCAGTGATAATTCTTTGTAATCAAATTGCTTCCTTCTCTTTATTGTATTCCTCAATGCTTTTAAATTAATCAAGTAATATCGATATTCAATTTCATATTCTATTTTGTTTCTATTAATTTATATTTCAAACTACCGATAGATTTTCCATGCTTCCAACTTCATTTACTCTAGCTTAATTTGTTTTTCTCTATTTAGATTTTCTTTTGAAAGCTTTATTTTAACTCAATTTGCATATTTAAAATTCATTTAGATTTTCAATAACTTAGCGATCATTTACTTTTCTTGTAGTCTTAGCTTTTTCCTGATTACATTAGTTTGAAGGAGTCCTTCTAGACATATCCAATGCATTTTATTGTTTAACCCATTTAGTGTAGAAAGCTCACTTCTCGTTTCTACCAATCGTTTGATTATTAAGGTGTAGTCTATAATGTTCTTCCATTAACTTACAATTGAGTTTCACGTTTGAAAAGAAAAGAGGGTCATCGGAAAAACTCTTTCTTGTTTTGAGCAAAACAAATGACACACCATTTCACCTATCACATGTCAAGGAGATTGTTCAGGATAACAATTTCAATATACCTTTCTTTCAGTTTTTCCTTCTCTCTTTTCCATGCTTTAATTTCTTCTATAATGTTGTTCGTGAAGCCAAGATGGCTGCTGATCAAATGGCCAGAATGGGACGTGCTCTTTCTGAGGATTTTGCAGTGTTTCCTTTTTTGTCCCTTGAACATGAAATTTTCTGTATTTTGAATCTAATGGGGTTTTCGTTCCCCAGGACTTGTTGATGTTGTTCTTTTTTATTCAATAATGCATTCCTCTTTTTACACAAAAAGGAGAAAAGGCAGGTTGAATTTGTTCAGGGAGATGAAGAAAGAAGATAGAGGAAAAGGAAATGGGTAGTGGCAAACACCGAATGCTGATTAGAACGTGGAAATAATTTTGTAACATGTATCATAGGCAAAACTACACACCATAAAAATCTACTCCACTTTTTTCTAATTTTTTTGACATGTATCATAGGTCTATCATTGTCTGTTTTGCTGGGAAGAAGAGAGCAGGATGGCCAACTTTACTCTTGCAAACACCACCGTTCCCTCACCTTTTGACAACCTTACTGCACTTCGATCCAAGTTTGTAGCTGTTGGCCTTAACAACAACACTGATTTAGTTGCATTATCAGGTAGAAGTTCTTTTTGGCTAGAATCATACATTCTATCAACTAATGCCCTGCATATATATATATATATATATATATATTGATAAGCCAAGAAAGTTTTATTACGTGTACAAGGGGTACTTCACCCTAATTCACTATAGGAGCAAGCCAAGAATTACACATCAACTAATGCCATGCTTGATGATTTAGTTGTTAACAAATAACTGATGCCTAATAACCAATAACTAATGAGATTGAGGAAAATTGAGATGTCTGGCACTTAAAATACCAAAAATGATAATAAAAAAACTAAAATATCCTTCATGAATCGAAAAGTATTTGAATAATTTCATGAGAGTCTAACATTTAAAATATTAGGATGTTTTGATTTTTATTTTTCTAATAATTGTTATTAATTCAAACAACCTTATTTGTCCTATTAGTGAAAACAATTATCAGCTTTTTCTTAACAATTAAACCATAGAAGGCCTAATATTCAACTTCGGATCAAGGTTAACAGATGCTCAATAAAATTTTCAAGTGCTCATACATTTGGGCGTGCTCATCGCTTCGCATTCATGGAAAGACTATCAAATAGTGAAACCACCCGGGACAAGACATACGCAGCAACACTACAGGTATTGTGCAACGGTAATGGGACCATCCTGGCAGATCTTGATCCCACCATACCCAACACGTTTGACAGCAACCACCTCTCCAACCTTCAGCAGCAAATGTGCCTGCTCCAGAGTAATCAGGCGCAGTTCTCAGCAGGGGCGGATACCAAAGACATTGTTAACAGGTTGGTTAAACAGACTGCTTTCTTTGAAGCTTTTTGTCAAGTACACCATCAGAATGGGTAATCTCAGCTCCGTCCCGGGGGCCCAAGCAAGAGGTGAGATTGAAATGCAGGGTGGTTAACAACAAACAACAAAAACTCCACCATATCAAGAACTGCTAAATCCAATGCTGCTCTTGTTAGCTCCATTTAAATTGATTAGCCAAGCTTACATGTACCAAGAAGAGTTTATGGATGAGTTATTTACCGTATTTAAGGTTGTTGTGTAAATATAATTATTCAAGTGTTACTTTAGGAGAAATCTAGTTCTTAAAAAATGTGAAAATAGTCTAATAAACAATACATTTTAGGGAATAATGAAATCAGCATTTTTACAATATTGTTTACAGAATTCATTTTATCCTATAGGAAGAAAACCCATGTGAAAAAACAAATTAAAAGAAAAAAACCAATAGGCAAAAAAAAAAAACACAAGGTAATTTTCTGTGTAGAAGCTTTTATATATATAAATGTCTCTGTGTGTGTGCTCGCTACAAAAACCAGTAATGGCTAAGGAAAAAAAACTCTGATCTCTGATCTGTTGGGGTCACTGAATTCCAGAATACGATTACTCGAGTAGAAAGTAGTCACCCTAATCCGAAGAGAAAGCTCCATTACAGTACCTGCACAATTTACAGAAACAAACTGGAATACTTACTCTGCATGGATCTGAAACGAAATGAATTTACAAAATAGCCCCAGGACAGATTGTCTTTTAAATAGGCCAAATATCAAATAAAAAAGAGGCTTTTTAGATGAACTTGGAAATTGGCTTCTTCCACATACCCCTCAACCAACAAATACAGCTACTAGAGATGGAAAATACTGATGACTTTTTATTCCATTATTATGACGAAAAGAGAAATGATTATAGCAATTGGCAGTGGTATAATCAATACGATAACAAGAATACTGCAAAAAAAAAAAAAAAAATTTGTTGAATCATATACCTGTTACTGAATTTCTCAACAGCATCTGATGCATAGAGAAGTGTTTCATTTGCTTTCTCTAAGACCATATAGAGTTCCTTCCCTCTAGTAATACGAGCAATCACCCAAGCATTGTTTTTTGCTCTAATACACATTTCCATATCCTTATCATGAACTGTGTAATCCCATTTTGCTTGATTCTTTTCCAAATCTACCTCTTCCCTCAGCTTGTTTAAGGCAAGTAGAGACTCCTGCATTATTAAAATATGACAAGAAAGAACAATTTTAAGGAGTCACATTATCATTATCTTCACAATGAAAACTCAGCAGAGAGATAAGGACTCTCTATAAGTTAGCATTCATTTCACATTGTAACTAGTATCACCAAGAGCCATATTTCAGAATCAATTTCCCAAGTTGATACTTGATTGACAAACCAGCCTTGGATATTGGTTTGAACTTCGGAAGATACACACCCGCCCTGGCTACATAATGCAATTTTAATTAAATTTTTTGTTTTCAAGGACCACAACAGAAGGATTGGAACTACAATATCTTGGCGTTTTGGCCACTATAACCCTGTTCAACCTAAGCCTAGCTACTCACATAATATCCAAAAAGAAGGTACTCAGAAGACTGCTTTAACAGATCAGCCACTTCCCTTCCAAATAAGCCCAGTACTACCGCTCAATAGAAATGAGGAGACATCATACTCTGATCTGCTGTCTGTCTCAAATAATCCTAACAATTATTCCATTTACAGGGATTGACCTTGAAGTACCTATGAGCAAGGTTTAAAAGCATTTCCAAAAGTAAACACATCAATAAAGCAACATTTATGATCTTAACTTGAGGCTTAAAAGCTTTCAATTATTAAAACATGAGGTTGCTAAAATAGATGATATTGAAACACTTGAGTGACAAATTTATGATCTTAACTTTTAGATTGACTGAAAGCAACATTTGTAAACTGAAAGAGTGTCTCTCTTTGCCAGTGAAAGCAACATTTGTAAAAGGAAAGATTTAAAATCAAAGTGCTCTCGTGCATGTGTGTGCATGCATCATACTCATGCATTTGCCTATTACAAGATACAAAATCAAAATCTACAGACTTACTCATCTACATTACTCTTTTCATTGATGACCAAATTTTTTAGGTCATTTCTTTTTTCCTCTCTATTTGTGAACTCTTTAGAAGGGGAAAAAAATTTTGATGAACTTACATTTTCCTTCTTGAAAGAAAGAAAGATACAAAACAAAACATAATTTATGGAAAGGATGAAATAAGTTAATCTATCATTTGAGTTCAGCAGCCTACACTTAGTAAACTAAGATTAGTTTGGGGATGATTACCATCAAATAAAACTAAACCTGAGAAGTATCCATCGAAAAACAAATTGGAATTTAGCTCAAGGGCTCAACTCAATTTAAGGGCACAAGAACCAAATAATAGAGTCAGCACCACTTAACAAACCCATTGTCCACACATGTCCATTGTGTAAGCAGATGAACATGGTTTTACTAATAATCAAAATATTTGGTTGAGAAGAAACCCATTCCAATTCTACAAGTCCTAGCAAATTTTCTAAATTATACTCTAGCCAATACGTATTCAATTTAAAAGGGCAGAAATGAATTTTTAACCATTCTTAACCTAATAGATTATAAAATTAAAAAAAAAAAAAGATGAGCAAATGACTGTACTTTCAAGATGCACTTAAATTGAATGCCCATTGGCAAGAGTATAATTTAGATGGGGCTATTTTGTCAAAGTTTGCTACTTCACAGAAGTGAGCACATCAAGCACTATGTGCTGCAACCGATAAGGTGCCAAAGCAGGTGCTTTAGGCATGCTTCACAGAAGTGATGCACTTCAGGTGGTTTTGAAATGCCACAGCCAAATAGCAGTCCGCTTTTTCTGCTTAAGCGGTTGGAGCAGACACTTCTAACAACACTGTTCTTAATGCCCTCATTTTGGAATGAGGTCATGTATTCCCTTAAAGTTATGGCTCCATAGTGGGGTTCTTCACCCAGCTGACAATGAGAAAAGCCACCAATGGAGCATATCTATGAAGCAATGGATTGGCCAAGGAAGCCATTGTAAAGGCTTTTGATGGAAATGTAGAGAAGAATAACCATGTGTTTCTATCTTAGATAATGGATGGGGAAATCAACATCATCCTTTGCTAAATGAACATTTCCTATTAAACCAGAGAATTTATCCTAACACAAAATAAAACCAGTGTGCTTTACCTTTGTTAGGGTTGTAACCTTTCCTGGGGGTGAAGCCCTGGAAATGTCTCTACTATCATCCACTAACAAGTAACGATAGCCGCTAACATGATAAGCATTCTCACCACCCCATCCTTTTGACAATTTTTCTTCGACTTTCAGAATCTTTAGTGATGCCTGAAATTTTCAATAAGATCAGATTCAGGTGGTGATCCATAACTCATCATATAAATATATCATTTCTCAATACAGTGTCTTGACATCACACTAGGTGCTGATTTAATATTTAATAACTTATTTGTACACAACAATGCCACATGTAAGCTGACCTCATAAACCATGACAAGAGTCACTGATTAGGAATTTATTTCAACCATATATGAGTTAGACACTTTTAAGTTGATTTTACCCACAAACATCAAGCCCAAATTGCCCCAAGAATTTAAAAGAAACACAACCATAACTGTCTGTAATCAGAAACCAGACAAGGAAAAAAGCTATATAGATGGGAGAATACTCCAAGTTAAAAATTGAAGATTCTAAGGGACAAGTGTTCCAAGCTGAAAGGCAACAGCTAATAAAAGAATAAAGCTAATAAAAGAATAAAGTTAATAAAATGAAAAGGATACTAATGATAGCAAATATCTAGAGAACAACTGCACAGAATTTTTGAAACCCAATAGCAGACAAGATAATGGGTGTCAAATGAAGAACTAAATGATTAAGAGAACATCAATTAAAATTTCACTAACATAAGTAGGGAACTAACATTTTCGAGAATTTGCTGCTTCACCACAGAAACACCTTGCTCTCCATTAAGGATGGAGGAAACGGGAATGAGAAGGATTACTGTAAGGCTCTTATACTGATAAACACAGAGATACATCCTCTCCTCTGTCTGCTTTAGCGATATTGTTGGAGTGACCAAATCCAAGCTACCAACATCTGGGCCCCATATCTCGGTGATAAGAAAACCATCCTTCCCTTTTGACCACCTTCCATGCTGCAAGGGCCTTATAACTTGATATCTATCATCTCCAGAAGGAGAAGTATCACTTGATCCATAAAACCGTTCCAAAACAGAACCAGGAGGTGCAGGAGTAGAGCCAGCAGCAACTTGAGATGAAGAATATCCTTTGCGTAAATAGGACCAGGAACTTACTCCAGAGGACAGAGCATGAGGGGTCAACCTTAGAACAGCATATGTAAATAAGTTTATGGTATCCTCCTGACAAGAAGATCATTATGAAGATTAGCAATTGATTTCACAAATGGCATCAAGAATGGTTCTTAGAGTTCTGACAAAGGAACAGTTATTCACTTCTTGAAGGGTTTCTCAACTTAAAGGATAACAAGCAGTTGCATCTAACAATTATAAAACTGTCAACGTCAGATTTACTTCAGGAATCAGGTCATACAGGGGAAAGTGTTGTGGAAACCAGCAGGTCCTGAAATAAAATCAGCGAGGAACAATGTGCATTCCCAGCACAGGATTCCAGTATCCTGACAAGTGTCTGCAAAACAACATAACAAAATTACAAACACAAAAAAATAACAGTCAGATAACACACATTTCAAGCAATAAATTTTATTACCTCTTCCATATAATTAAGTCACTTTATGAGTTAAAATATGTACAATGTTGAAATATATCAAATAAAGAGAATAAAACAGCAATGCAGACTTTTTGAACATGAACAAAAGCATCAAGAAAAATGATGCCAATTCCTATTATACATAAGAAACAGATGACTGTTCCCAAATTGCCATTACTGGTTAGACCATAAATGCTATGTCTTTTATTCTTCTTTTGATCAACAGACAAGGCAGGTAGTGATGAAGTACCCTTCATTTAACAAGTTATCCACAGCAAATCTTTGACTTATAGTTATAAGCAATTAATGTAATATCAAATTGAACAAAATATAACAGCTAAATAAGAGGAAAATATATTTTGTTCTAATAGATGTCCAAAACTTCCAAACAATCAATGGTATGAATTTTCTCTAATCATATGCAAAAGAGAATATATAACATTCCAGGAAGTATAAAATGGAAGGTTCAATTCATTGGGAATATAATATAAACAGAACAAACACTAGAAAAAACATATGATGCAGAAAACAGTTGCAAGGATGTAAACATCACTCAACCACATATCACTAATTTGGCGTTAAACACATCTATGTCCACTCACAAGGAATCTACAAGGAGAACCCAAATTAATTAAAAAAAAAAATTTCATACCAATGCATACGTTTCTTTTTATTCCAATAGATTTAAAATAAATTTTAACAAACTAAGTTGATTGCCTTAATCCACTAGTACTAATAGTAAGGAGTTTTGGCATTTTGAACACATATTTACCAAGGAACTCAATCTTATAAACAAACCTGAACTTCAATTGCAGCCTCTCGTCCTACAGTTAACATCTGTACAGTTCTGCGCTCCTTTAAACAGTCACGGAATGATGGCAATTGGAGTTTCTTCCCAATAAAAAAATCTGCCTCAAGGATAAAATTTACATATAAAGTGTAAGATTTAACAACCTCAGTATAACTTGGGCAGCACAAATTGAAAGAAGGCCATTTGATAGAGCTACTTCAGCATTACCACAGCAGCATTTATCCAAGGTAGACCGCTTTTGAAATGCTGACAATAGTGACTTAAAATGAAATATTTTGAATCAAAGACAAGTAATGAACTTATTGTACTTTATTATACAGAAAGATTACATAACAGCAAAAAAAAAAAAAATTACCTCTTAGATAATCCATGATGAATGGGTATAAATGAGATCGTGTTAATCCTCCACTGGGCTCTTTCTCAAGAATACCTCTTACTGATCCATGAAACAACATGAAAAGAGAGTGAACTTCCTTAAGAAGCTCTTTTAATGCATCAATCCGCCATATAGCTTCTGCCTCTTTATTTTTCTCCACTACCTATGACAATGTATAAAAAAACACAGATCAGAACCATCTCTGAGAGACTTCAAATCTACTTAGCCTAACTTGAGCTATTGTTCTAACTGCTGCTTGAGTAGAGCTTTTCCAAAACTGTAAATGATGGCATGCAATGTTGGAGGTTGATAAATCACAGTAAAGTCAAAAGTCTACCCGCAAACACACTTTACTAAAAATGTCTTTTGGTTTACAAGATGATTTCAACCTCTAGAAAAGCCAAAAACATTTTTAGAAAATCCATTTTGGCCTCGCTTTAGCTTCAACAATAAAGCTGTTTCTAAGAGTTCAGCAAACAAGCATTTTATAGAATCTATAAGTGAAAACAAATATAGGTTGTAGTTTTACCTGTTGATTGAAACCTTCTATTTTCATAGAAACCATTCTAAATGAGGAAAAAATTTTAGACAACATTCAGATTATATAACAGAGATTATTAGAAAAATCCCTGGACAATATGACAAAGTTATATCTACCATTCAACGTTAAGTTTTCCCTTAAAATCAAGAAGGTCTAAGAAAACGTATTATGTAAAGAGGTTGGAACAACATACATTGAATGTTGTAAAGAAAAGTCTAATAATACTGAAAAAGGAGCCTCCGGAACCAAGGAATCATCAAATTTAGGACTTTACAGGTAGCTTGAAAAATTCATTATGGGTTATGCCAACAGATGTAAGTTCAAATCAAGTGTGAAATCCCCAGCCTAGAAGAAAGCAGCTAATGGCATGAATTGATTTCTCCCAAAGTAGAACAAAGCAAACAGAAGTACAACTCTACAATTAAAGTACAGAATAGAGTGAGGCAGGGAAAAGGTTTATGATTCAGTAGATAAACATTATAAGAAGGTACAAGCCTCAAAACAATATGAACGCTATGTAATAAAAATGTTAAAGTTAAGCATGCATCAATACCCACCATCACCATCCAGATATCTGGCTCTGCCTCATAAAAAACATGAGAGTGTCTCTCTGCCTCTATAACTTCACAAGCAGCCTCTGGTGAGAAAATTCTGCAAAAAGCTCATGTCATGTCTAGAAATAACTAGCTACACTACACAAAACAGAAATAAATTACAGGGCGTTTTTGAAATTATACAAATTCAATTCATAATATTAAAAATACAAACATTTCACTGATTACTTAGATTTGAAGCAAACACATTACACCAATGCTAACAAAAAGATCAAAAGAAAATTATCCCAACAAAAATCCTATATATCCAGAACAGGTACAAATGAAGCTAATTACCGCGTAAATGTAATAAGTCCTTCACTCAATCCTATAACAGAGAGTTGGGTCGAAAAAGGTAAGTCTGCAGGATAGAAGAACAAAATCTTGTCGAGTTCCTGCCCTTCCTGTTGCCCCCTTTGCAAATCAAATACGCATAGCAGTAACCCTTCACCAGTAGTGCTAACAGATGACAACCCCATGATTTCTACCAGCTAATTGACCTAAGACAGTCGAAATGAAGCATATAAAAATGAGCTAAAAAACAAATTAATTACATGAAGCTACAAAACTAAATTAACAGAATTAGCCAACAGCACAAGTAATGCGAATGCCATGGAAAATGAAAACATTCGCAGAGTAGGACTAAATAGATATTAAATCGAAATTATTAACACCCATGAAAAGTTTAGGCGGTTAAGAATGACCCAGATGAAAAAAGAAGAGAAATTTGCTTACAAACCTTCTCAGAATGGTTCCAAACAGGAAAAGATTAATGCTTTATTAGGTTGAGTTTTCGACAGCGCTAAGCTAGGGTATGTTGGAAGAAAGGGTACTTTGAAAGGTAGGTAAAAGAAATTAATAACAAATCAACATGTCGCGAATGAGTGAATGATATTGCATTACAATAGCTAATGATTTTATTGTTTTTCAAACAATCTTATTATATTTACTAAATAATTTATTTTATATAATTAATTAGGTTGAATTATAAGAGAAGTTTATTTTATTCTTTGCAAATTGCTACTGAATTACAAATAACACATCTGTATTCATACCCAATAGTAATACCCACGGTAAGTTACTTATATATGGACAATGTGATAATAAAAGACAATGGTTGGTGGTTTTGACTAAGATGCAAGAGACGGAGTTTTGAAATTCAAGGAGAAGTTGTTGCAGTTTTTAATGCGAAATTTGAAACTTGAGAGAACGTAACTGTTAACTCTTTATTTTTGCAGTTTTAATAAGATCAGTTGCTTAAAGATTAAAGTGTTCAAAAACCAAAGTTAGGGACCAGTTGTGTCATTTTGCCATTAACTAAAATTCTGGGAAACCCAATGTCCGACATGGACTTTTCATTCACCGACTTAGTAAGGTGTCAGCATCTTATTTAGGGTGTCCACCCCTTGGACAATTAAGTTTTCCTTACAATTATTCGTTCAAAGATCAAAATTAAAAGAGTTGTTGGGGGTGGGGAGGGGGAGGCTATTGATAGCTCTTTTTATGATACTCTTGAAAATTAAAGATAGAGGATAATAAAAATTTAATTAATAATAATAAATTAAAATTTTTAATTTTTTTAAATTGAGTTTTATTTTTTAAAATTATCTTTTATTTGTCGTTGAATATTTTTATATTTATAATAATGATGAAGTTATTTTTTTCTGTGAAAAAAAAAAGAAAAAGAAAAAGAAAATATGATTTCAAATTTTAATAATTTCATTATAAGTTAATTTAATTAACTAAGATTATGACTAATCTAATCAATTTACTATAGATTTTTATGATTTTTGTGCTTTTGGCATTGTAATTTTATAATGAGTATATATTATGAGTAGAAATTTATTTTTATATAAGTTTTACATACCACATTTATACAAAATATTAACAATTCATCTTTTTATTTTTAATAATTAAGATTGATTTGCATTGATTAAAATTATTATTTTTTATTTAAAAAATATGATAAATCTCAACTATTGAAAATAAAAAAATAAATGATTAAAATTTCATATAAATGTAGTGTATAAGACTTAGTATGAATGGATTTATCCTCATATATTATTGTTTTTTAAATACTTTTTAATACTTAATTACCATTAAAATTAATATCGAGAGCATGATTGAGATCATTTTCATATAATAATTTCTAACAATATACACCATGAATTAAACAAACCCTAGAGATGGACTAACATAATTTGTATAGTATTAATGATAAATGAACATGATTTTTTATATAAATCAAAGAATTTTATAGAATGTATTTTTATTTATTTAAATTTATATAAAAATATAATAAGTTAATAAATGAAAATATGTTTAGGATAATTTAAAAGGCACAGGAATGAAGAAAATCAATTTAAAACTTCCCCAAATTCACCTTCTAGGGAAGAGAAGCCAAACTAACCTAGAGCAGAGGCGTGGAGCAATTCTTTTATATATATATATATATATATATATATATATATACTGAAAAGTTAGTTATTTCACATTATAATAGTTTAAATTTTTATGTTTAATTTTAAATTAAAAATTTTAAATTAGTAAATACCAACTATTATGGTTGTTGAAATGAAGAAATAAAGAATAAATTTAATAATTTATCAATTAACTATCAACCTTTTATTACTTTAATCCTAAAAGTTAAATTTCTTCTAAAGTGATCTAGTAACTTTAAAAATTGTATGAATATTATCGGGTTAAAGCCAACAGTCATCCCTCTACTTTTATTTTTTGTTCATACCCATCCCTCTACTAAGGATTTGTTCCTTGTCATCCCCTACTTCCCTGACACTAATCAACGTCGTCTCTCTCCTAACCTTTATCCATTCAATGTCGTCCTTATTTGGACGTCGTTGCTTGTGCAGTTTATTTTGACCGTTATATGTCATTAATCAACTGTTAGCACAATTCTTTAATTTTTTTTTCACTTATTCTAACTTAGTGGGGACCCCATATTACTTTTCTTTTCATTGTCTTCCACTCGACATTTCCCTAAACTCAATCCTTTTTTTTTCTTGCAGAAACCTAATGCCCACCCCAAAATTAAATGAAATTAACATATTTTAACTCACTATCCATGTTGTTGGGATATATTTTGATTGTTATATGCTATTAATCAATTGTTAACACAATTCTTTAATTTTTTTTTTCACTTGTTCTAACTTAATGGAGACCACATATTGCTTTCCTTTTCATCGTCTTCCAGTCGACATTTCCCTAAACTCAATCCT